TTATTTTATTTTTGTTTTTTTATTTTTATTTTTATTTTTTTTTTTGTTTTTTTATTTTGTTGTTTTGCCTTCTCTCATCCGGCTGTATTTATTTGTCTTTGTGTGGATACTATTATTATACTATAACTTTTTATTTATTTATATATTATATTATTATATTATACATATTTATTTGTATATTATAATAAAATATATTATATTATATTATATTATATATATTATATTATTATATTATATTATTATATTATATTATATGTATTATATTATTATATTATAATTATTTATTTGTGTATTATATTATTATAATTTTGTTATTATTATTATATTATTATATTATAACTATTTATTTATTTATTTATTTATTATATTATTATATTATAACTATTTATTTATTTATTTATTCATATTATAACTATATATTTATTTATTTATTTATTTATATTATAACTATTTATTTATTTATTTATTCATTTATATTATAACTATTTATTTATTTATTTATTTATTTATTTATTTATTTGTTTATTTATTTATTTATTTATATTCTAACTATTTATTTATCTATTTATTTATTTATTTATATATTTATTGGTTTATTTATTTATATATTTATATATTTATTTATTTATTTATATATACAGACGCAAACGAAACAGCAAAGAAATTTGAGGATGACTTGGTGTCTATGCAGCTGCCTGTGCTGGCCGAGCTCAAGGTGCCTATACACCCCAGCAGCAACAGATATAAATAAAAATATATAAAATAAATATAATAAAAACAAATATAAATAAAAGTAAATAGTAAATGTAATGAATATAATAAATATAATAAAAAACAAAATAATATAAATTTTATAAACATAGAAATAAAAACAAATAAAAATAAATATAAACAACAAATATATTAAGTATAATAAACATATTAAATATAATACATAAAATAAAAACAAAATAAAATAAAAAAAAACAAAAAAATAAAAAAAATAAAAAACTTTTTTAGGTTTATCTGCAAGGGAAAGCCAGCTGGGTGTGGACGGCATTTAACGCTCTCGTGAGATAAATAAATCATTTATTTTTTCTTTTTTATTTTATTTTTTATTTATTTATTTATTTGTTTATTTTTATTTTCTTTATCTATTTATTTATTTGTTTATTTATGTTTATATTTTTGTTTATTTATTTATTTATTTATTTATTTTGTTTTTTATTTTTTTCTTTTTTAGGCCTACATAGATTTTCTTCTG